CTTTGGGGTGAGGGATATTTTGGGGTGAGGGATATTTTGGGGTGAGGGATATTTTGGGGTGAGGGATATTTTGGGGTGAGGGACTTTTAGGGTCCCCCTGATGAAGGGAGGAAATGATGAATCTGACTCCATGTTCTTAGAAGGCTAAATTATTATATTATGCTATATTATATTATGCTATATTATAGTATAGTATAGCATAAATATAATATTATATATTGTATTGTATACTATACCACATTATATATTATACTATATTATATAAAATATAATATATTATACTATATTATACATTATATACAATATGGTATCATATATCAATTATATAAATTATATACTTATATATTTATACATATAAATATATATTTATATATATTTTAATATATAAATATGTTTTACACTTATATATTTATATGTATAAATTATATACTATATAATATATAGCATATAATGTATATCATATATACATTACATGCTATATATTATATAGTATATAATGTCACATAATATATTATATATTGTATATATTATATTATATTATATTATATTATATTATATTATATTATATTATATTATATTATATTATATTATATATCATAATATTGTATTGCATATTGTATTGTATACTATAGCACACTATATTATATATTATCTTATATATCATATAATACTATATATTACATTGTACTATATTATACATTATACACAATATAATACTATATTATATATTATATAACATTATATATTATAACATCTTATTCTAACTATACTAAAGACTAAAAGATAATGAAAAACTCCTGACTCTCTCCTCAGAGCCCCAACACTGACCATGACCGGTCATTAAATAAAACCAATTCACCTGTCGGATAAACAACCTCCAACCCCAACACTGACCATGACTGGTCATTAAATAAAACCAATAAACAATTCACCTGCTGGATAAACAACCTCCAACCCCAACACTGACCATGACTGGTCATTAAATAAAACCAATAAACAATTCACCTGTCGGATAAACAACCTCCAACCCCAACACTGACCATGAC